ATCTATCTATCTATCTATCTATCTATCTATCTATCTATCTATCTATCTATCTATCTATCTATCCATCTATCTACATACAGATCTAGCTCTCCAGCCCAGCCGGAGGACCCCAAGAAGGAACCTAGAAATCTTCCACCAAGTCGGTATAAATGATCATCCTTCTTACCTCGGTTACAATGGTGGATGTGAAGACCGACCCTTCATAGGTCCACCCATCCAGACACGGTTCCTGCTCGGCCTCCGTTGGCTCCCGTCCCGTTGAATTAAACTCCAACAGCTGCCATTGGGGGGTGACAAAACGCCAACACTTTTCCGGCCTCCAGGCCCCATCCTGCGGTACGAACACCCTCAAGAGCGCCCCACAATCTCGATTTCCCGTGGCGTTCCCATTGGCGCACGCTTTGTTCAAGGCGACTCGGCAGTGATGCCCGGGAACCGCAGCGGTAAAATTCTGCAACAGGTTGTGAGCTGCCATCAGGAGCATTGGGAAGCACAGGAGCGCCACGTTGAGCCCTTGAAAGCGTCCCATGCCCCCCACTTGATCCAGGAGTTCGGCGAATGCCATGGCGGGCTTTGGTGGTGTGTGGCACGTCGCAGATGTGCCGAGCTCGGGGAAAATGCCGCACCGATGATGGAGGAGGGACTCTGTTGAAAGCCAAAGTTGGTTTTACCGATGGGGAGATGCCCGTCTTAGCTACTTTGCAGGACTGGAACGAAGACGGAGCGAAGAGAGGACGTGGCGGAGGTTACGCAATGCCAACTGGACTCCTGACATGCCCATCTGTTCCAGCATTGAAATGCAACCCGGGTCACAGGAGAAAACTCCTCATGGGTCCTGCTGGTGGGCAAACAGGATTCAGCAGCTGCCCACTGTGCGTTGTACTTTTGTCATCCTGGGGTGTTTTTTGATGTTTTCACTCCCAATTCTTTCCTGCACCTTTTAGGAATGAAACGGGGGGCAGCTGTGGTGCAGGCGTTTGCGTCGTGAGGTAACTTTGTGGTGGCTTTTTAGGATTGTTTTTGATGAGGGTCAGCTCCCTGCTGAATTAAGCTAGCTTAGCTGCTTTTCTTGGTTTGGGAGGGATGAAAAGAAGGAGAACCAGGACTTATTTCTTGGGAATGTAGCTAAGATAGCAACGGCGGGGTCAGTCCGGGCCAAGTCGAAGAAAATAAGAATTTTTCTTCTTCTTCTAAGTCGTTGGCATTCAGGGCTCAGAGCCAGCTGCCCAAGAAAGCAAAGACACATATTTCTCTCCTTAGGCCCAACATTTCCATTGTTCAGCAAATTCGATGAGTTTTGTCCCATTTTTGCCACAAGTTGTTAAGCAAAATGCAGCTGTTGTTAAGTGAACGATGCGGCCATTAAGCAAATGCAGTTGAGAAGTTTGTGGGTTGTGTTGTAGAAAAACTAACTCTTGACTTCTTCTGGGAAGCAAGCCCTCCCATTAACACAGAACATGGCTTATGAGCTGGGCTGAATGTATTAGGAGAACTCAGTCAATATGACCGGGTTTGCTAGGGATGTAGTCTGGCTTGATTGAATTGGGGGAATCCTCTGTTTGAGCTCTTGGAAAAGCAGGAGCTGAGGATTCAAAAGCAATTGGGCTAGATGACCTACAGGGTCCCTTCCAACTCTGCTAATCTGCAATAGGTCCAGAAAGATTCTCCAAACGGAATCTTTGAGAAAAACAATTGGATTTGGCTAGAAATCAGAAGGCTCTGAGTTCTAGTCTCACCTTAGGTATGAAATCCAGCTGGGTGACTTGGGTGCAATCACCAGGAGACAGTGAGTTCTAGTCCTACCTCAGGCATGAAAGCTAGCTGGGTGATTCTGGGAAAATCACCAGGAGACGGTGAGTTCTAGTCCTGACTGAGGCACAAAAGCCAACTGGATGACTTTTGGCCAATCACTCAATCCAGTCCATGCACATTGCGGGAAAATAGGAAGAGGAAGGGATATTATGTATGCTCGTCTCCTTGAGTTATTTACAAAAATGATAAAGGTAGGATATGAATGAATGAATGAATGAATGAATGAATGAATGAATGAATGAATGAAGTTTGATATAAACCACTTTGGGGCAGGCTTTGTTTTAAAAGCCCGATCCATTTGAACCTAAGACAATGATAGCCAGTTCAGCCATTCAGTTCCATGCAAAAATGCCACCTTCTGAATCGAAACAACGATTGCAATCGAGCCGACAATTAGAAGTGGCACAGGGGGGCTGATCTCTTCCTCCCCCCTCCCCCCATTAAAATGGCTTAACAAGGTCTTGGCAAGCTTATTTAACAGCGATTAGAATCAACATTTCCCAAACTATAATTCGCTGTTATATAACTCTCTTGTTTGGGCAGTGAGAGCCAAGCTCAGTCTGTGGCCGCCCCAGTGAAAAAGAAAAATCTTTTAAAAAAATAATAATAATCTCCCTTGTAACTTGGAATTGTTAAATCGGCTGTTCCTGGAATCGCCGCTCACAACAGCAAAGGCAAGGGCAGAACCGCAGATCTGGGAGAGACCTTTGGAGGTCTTCTAGTCCGACCCCTCACTCGAGCAAGAGACTTTATACCATCCTGGTCAAATGGTTGTCCAGTATACTTCTGAAAACCTCTGTCCCATGAATTGTTGGAACGTGAACGATGTCCATGAATGAGGAATTGTTCTAACTGTCAGGAAATGCCTCCTTAATTCTAGGTTGGCTCTCTCTTGGACAAGTTTCCATCCGTTATTTCTCAGGGGCTTTAGAGAGTAAGTCTTACCTCGACAGCCCCTTAAATATTGGAACACTGCTATCATGTCACCCCCTAGTCCTTCTTTTCTCTGGACGAGACATATCAAATTCCTGCAACCATCCCTTATATATTTTAGCCTCCTAATCCTCTTTGTTGCTCTTCTCTGCACTTTTTCTAGTGTCTCGACATCTTTTTTTATATTGTGGCGACCAAAACTAGATGCAGTATTCAAAGTGTGGCTGGACTAAGCCTTTGTAAAGCGATATTAAGATCCCATTCGCGTGATCTTGATTCTATGCAACCTAGGATTGCATTGGCTTTTTTGGCTGCGGCTGCGTACTGTTGGCTCATATCAAGATCCCTCTCACAGTTACAAACTATTAAGCTCATTGGTTGGTTCTCTCTTTAACGATCTTCCACCCATTACTTCTTATCCTGCCGTGCCATGCTATGAAAAACAGGTCAACCCCTTCTTCTCCGAGACAGCCCCTCAAATATTAGAAGACTGCTATCGTATCTCGTTCTTCTTTTCATTAACCAGACATACCCAATTCCTGCAACTATTCTTCATATGTTTTAGCCTCCAGTCCCCTAATCATCTTTGTTGCTGTCATGCTCCTGTCAGAATCTGAATCAGAGGAGGAAGACGAACAGCTGACAGGGAGTGGAAGTGTGGTTCTGTTGGCTGTGGAAGAAACTGGGGAAGGGCAAAGTCTGGCTGGGCAGAGCAGGGGTAAGGTAGAACAAGGGAGAGGGAGTTCAGAGGAAGCCCCAGGCCCACCCTCCTCTTCATCCTAGGGCACGCAGGGAGGAACGGAGAAGGGAGCAACATGGGTTGCGTGGCTTACGGGGGAGGAAAGGGCCCTGATTCCCTTCATTAGCTGGGAAGAGAGTTTAAAAGAGATGCATGCCGAGTGTGGTAGCTGCTCGGAGCAAACTGAGTTTATCTTGTGTTGACTTTAGTTATCTGTGTTCCTGGCATCTTCCCAACCGGGTTCATGCCTGGAATTCCTTCTCCTGCCCTGCTGGACTAATTACCTCATTTTGCCTTGATAAGACTTATAGTTCCAGTTTTTGTTGACCATGTTTTGGACTTGATTTTCTACAGCCAAAGGCTGCTCCTGGGAGAGTTTTTCTCCATCCCAGAAGGTAACCAGGACATTGGGGGCAAAGTTGGAGCTAATAAAGGGACTCCTACTGATTATCTGACTCTGTGGCCTTTGTGCCACGCCCCTTTGGGTCATCACAGTTGCCCTTCACTGCCCTCTTTCTAGAGTCTCAACATATTTTTTACATCATGGCATCCAAAACAAACCAAACAAACAATATCTGGGACCATTTCAAACAGAATAGGAGAGGCTCAGTTTTTAGCAAAGAATGTGAGAACATCTGGAGTCTTGTACACGTTGAGGATTAGTAAATTTATTAAGGCATCCTGTGCCTGAAATGTCAGTCAATGTTCACAAATACAGACACACAAAATTGTAAACATGGTGCCCGGTGACAGAATATAAGTGCCAAAACAAACCCCAAAACCCAGTACAGACTATTGCTTTCCTATATATGCAAAATTCAAAAGCAGAATATAAGTGCAAACTATAAAATAAAATACAGGCTGCAGTTGTTCTGTGTATGGAAAGTTCAAAAGTAGGTATCACAAATGCTGGGCCCATTGTTGGCAGGTTCCCTAACTGTGTTTTGCTGTTCTTTTTTTAAATAGACAATGTTTATTATGCTTTTAAAGAGAAGGTTAGCGATTACAAAAGGATATAAAATAAGGAAGAAAAATGGAAAAGAAAGAAAGAGGAAAAGACAAAAGTGTGAGAAAGGGATAAAAAGGGAAACGAAAAATAGAAAAGAAAAGAGAGAGAGAGAGAAACCTGAGAGTGCAAGAAAGAAAAACAGGAAAAAAAATAAAAGAGAAAACTGAAACTGCAAACAAAAAAGGAAAAACAGTAAAAGCTAAACAGAGAAGAAAGAACTCGAGGAAACTGACATCGTAAAAAAGGAAGAGAAAAATAGCAGATAAATTAAAAAAGTTATAAATATTCTTCACAGCAGTTCCAATGTTCTCCGTAGCAGTTATAAATACAGTTATAAATGGACCTCTCTAAAGTCACGTCTTGATTTTCTTCTTTCTATAATCTATCCTATCTAATCATCAAAGCCCATAAATCACACATTCATTTATTTTTTCCATTTTTACACAACCCTCCCCCCCAAAACCCTCCCTAAGAGGTTTCCAGTCATCAATTGTGCATTGTTGATCTAACCCTTGCCTTGTTTTTAGGCCAACCCAGTTGATTGGATTCACACAAACCCTGGACCAGGTCAGTTAAAAACCGACCCATCTCCTTCGATGCTTGAAGTGCTAGTTGAACAAACCTTGTTCATCTGCTTCAATTTGGAGATTAACCTGTCCCGTTTGGTCCTTTTACGATTCACTGGATTGTGTGAATCCGTAACCGAGTGTACTCTGTGAACCCAGCCGTTTTGTAATGCTGGCTGGGACACACGTAAAGAGGGGGCGGAGGGGGAAGTGACTCTCTTTGTAATAGAAGCGACGTAAACTTGACCAGCAAAATTTGCTCGCCTGGGACAACAACTAGGTTTACTTATTATCCTCTTGGATGCGTGTGAACCTGATCCTTGCTGTGCCACAAACCAAGTTATATCATCGGTGAAGTCATATCGCAGCACATCTGCCCGATCGCTGCATCTGCAATCCAGAATCTTCAAATTTTCACCTTTTTTATAAAAAAATATATGGATTACAGATCTCACCTTACAGGCATATAAGACCCAGATATAATTCAAGTCTCATTTAAATGGAGG